GTTGAGGGAATTCTGTGGGGTGTGACTTCCTGCATGAGTTAATAGGTGTGAGCCCCTCTCCCTCTGCCACTGCCATGAGCTTAAGGAACGGAGAAAGGGCTCTGAATTCCTCAGGACGGATGGCGGGGGTGGAGGATTCTGCCCAAGGCCAGGACAGGCACTAGCGCTCCTGGATTTGGGTTTTCTAAGCATACAGGCAAAAACTTTCTTGGTGCTTTAGTTTTCTATTGCGTGCAGCTTTTCTTTGTCCCGCTGATGCTTTCTGTCTTCACTCAGAAATTAAAGTTGGACCTGTTTATTCACCTGTCGCCCGGTGTGCAGTCTCCTACCCTACAACCTTTTTTTTTTTAATTGCTTCCTTCCTTTAACATATTTTAAAATATTCTTTTTAACTTTGGCAAGAAATACACTCACACATTTCTTTCAGGGAGGGGACACTTATCTATTCCTGCACTACAGCACTGCTTTAAGCACTACAGCTTTGCAGTATTTTGGTGTCTGTAAAGCCATTTTCCATTTCTTTTTTTCCTGGAATATCATCTTGAAGAAGCTCTCTGAAGAGGCTGGCATTATGGTGTAGCCATACAGCTGCCACCTGTGACACCAGCATCCTGTATGGGCACCGGTGCCAGTCCCGCTGCCCCACTTCTGACCCTCTCCCTGGGGAAGCAGCAGGAGCTGGCCTAAGGAGTGCCCTCCACCCCCCCGGGGGGGTACCTGCACGAAGCCCCCCCTCCCGGCATCAACCTAGCCCGCCTCCGGCTCTTGGGACGTTTTCAAAGTGACCTAGTGAACAAGAAATCTTCATCTCTGTCCTGTGGTTCTGCCTTCCAAAAAATTTCGACTCTTATAAAAGGAATAAAAATCTCTACGAAAAATTATTTTGCATTTCATTTGGAAGTGCATTAATTGTGTAGTTTGTTAAAAGGATTACATCTTTATCATATTGAATTTTGCCATCTACAAATGCATTATTTTATTCACTCACTTTTCTTCATGTCATTCAGTGAAAGTTTGACCATTCTCCATAAAGATTATTGATATTACTTGTTGCTACTATATATGGAATATTTTAGTCTGCTACATTTCCTTGTTGATGAGTGCTGGCACACAAGAAATTGATTTTGCAGAATGAATGCAATTAACTTTGTTGGCACATCCGTGTTACTGAGCCAGTCTTGCATATCTGAGGTAACTGGCACATGATCATAATGCATTATCGTTACATTCACTTCTAATTAGAATTTTACTTACTGATTTTTACATCCTTGATCGTGTTTTGATTTCAGGATTGAATATGTAAATAAACAAAATTTTCATATATTTTGCAACAATTAAAAGATTTCAGTTTAAGTTCAGAGAACTTGCCTATTCAACTGCTCAGATATTGTCTTTTGGGGGATAGATCTCAGAATATTACTTCTATTTTTTTTTTAGATTTATTTTTATTATTTTGTTTATTGGAAAGGCGGATATACAGAGAGGAGAGACAGAGAGGAAATCTTCCGTCTGATGATTCACTCCCCAAGTGAGCGCAACGGCCAGTGCTATGCCAATCCGAAGCCAGGAGCCTCTTCAGGGTCTCCCACATGGGTGCAGGGTCCCAAGGCTTTGGGCTGTCCTCGACTGCTTTCCCAGGCCACAGGCAGGGAGCTGGAAGGGAAGTGGGGCTGCTGGGATTAGAACCGGTGCCCATATGGGATCCTGGGTGTGCAAGGTGAGGACTTAACCACTTGCGCCACTGCGCCGGGCCCCAGAATATTACTTCTATTTTACACTTTCTACATCTTCTAGGTATTTCTGAAATTTTAGTTTTCTTATAAAATTATTCGTATATTTTTCTATTCTAGTGATATAAATCTATTTGTATTGTCTCATAATTAAAAATTAACTCATATATTATTGTTTCATCATTTTAAAATATCTGGTAACTTTTTTTGTGCCAGCTCTGCTGGTTTTAATTAATATTTACCAAAAAAATCCAAGTATTAAGGTTTTCAGTGATTTTGCTCTGTTGAACCTATTTGATTTTTTTCACTAATGTATGACATTTATTTATAGTGATATTTCTTATTCTGTTTTTCATTATCACTCATATAGAATTTTTTTTACTTTGATAATCACTCCCATGTCATCTTACACATAAAGCGAGTATGCACTGACGCAGTGTACTCCGGGGTCACAGCCCTTGGCACATTTGCCCCTGAAGACCGATCCTTGCTCCTGCGCAGTAGGCAGATCTTACCCGAGGACGCCTCACCTGGGGGTCTTTGCTTCCTTCGGACATTTTCCTTTTTCTTCTGAAGTTGGAAGCTTAGGTCACCCACTCTTAACCTTTTTATTTTCTGTTTGAGAGATGTTCTTCATGTCTGCTTCTGGAAGGCAGAGCTGGGCTTTGGCACGTTAGCCTCCCCATGACAGGGGGATGTGAGTTGAGCACATACACACCGCAGGGAGTGCAAAACTGGGGGGGGTGTACAATGATCCACTCCCACAGGGATCCCTCAGGGACCATCGCCTCTTCATCTGGGGACAAGCGGGAGGTAGAGTCAATAATGGCATTCTAATATGGTCCCTGCATGGAAAAAAAAAAAAAAACAACTGGGGCAAATGAATTTCTTGTCTTCAGGGGTGGAGGTAAAATGTATATCCTTCACCTCTTTCCAGCAAAATCAAATAAGCGTCCCTTTTTCTCATACCTGAAGTCTGACTTGAAGTTCAATTCCAGTTTCCCACCAGATATCGGGAAGGCTTGTATTAATAGATTGCAGGCATTCCTCTGGCACCTTTGGTGGCCATGGCTGCGCCAGCACCTGGAGGTTCGGGCTGAGCCTCACCTAACCCCAGGAATATCACTCACAGAGCTTCATCTGATTAACAAAAACCTTCAGAGGAGGAAAGCCCTTGCCAGGCATTTCACCAGTAAACACTGCTCATTAACTGCTGCCACTGCACAAAAATGCCCAGACTAAGAAAGATAAAGCTAAGGATCATGCCGGTCTCCTTCAGTGCTGACTGTGCCCCCAGTCCTGCCAATGAACGTCGTGCCACTTACAGGTGGCCAGAGGTCATCCTCCTATCAAAGTCCCCAAAGAAGAACTCAGACACAATTTTCGAGATTGACAATAAAAACTTATTTATCAATATATGGCTGGAAAAGCCAAGTTTCCCTGAGCCCAATTACACAAACGTTAGTGGAAATTCCTTCCCTGTTATCTTCCCCGTCAGCTTATCTAACGGCAGCTCTTCCACGGAAGAGAACAGAGCAGAAAACACTGTCTTCAGTGGTCTCTGCACCTGCAGCCTCCGAGACAGACACAACACACTTAACCTCCTCCTTTCCTCCCTTGGCGAGGGAGCACTCAGTGAAGACCTGGTGCCACGTATGTGCCATTTACTCCCTCAGGGATGCTGGAATGCCCAGTACCAGGAAAAGAAGAGAAATTGCACAGAAAGTCAATCTAGCATGTTCAAAGATAACGTCTTTCCAAAGATACCAAAGAATCACGCTCATTTTTACTCAGCAAAGTGCACAGGGAGGAAACAGATGTATTCTGTTAACAAAAGGGTTTTGGGTTAAATACAACAGCAAAGAGCACACACTTGCAGAATGCAAAAGGGAGAGGGCAGAGGCGAGGACCCTGGTGGCAGGAGGTAGAGAGGCACCTTCCCAGGACGCTTTCAGGATGGGGGACGGGCAGTGAGGTTGAGGAGAGATGGGGTGGCCGAGTGTGAGTAACAGAGTCCCTGCGAAGCCCACCGACCTCAGTCCTCCTCCGGGCTCGTGCCAGTAGCTCACTACCATCCGGAGAATGGGCCACAGTGGATTGTTTAATCAGATGTCTGAGATTATGGCATTCTGCACAAGACTATTTTATTCTTGATACTATAAGGTATTCAGGAGGGAAACAGAGAGGACTTCACCAACCCAGCAAATATCTTTCAGCCTCATCTCTGAACATTTACACACTTGCACACGTACAAAAGCAGAGTGGTCCACAATTTCACCCATAGCAGCAGAGACACACATATATATCTATATATGTATATATAAAATAAATAGCACGGATGCCTGATTCCTTAGGGGGTGAGGAGAGATGACTTGGGGTGACGTGGGGACAGCTTGGGCCACATGCCCCTATTTCCCTGAATGCTACCAGTATTTGTTTAAAGATCTTATTGTGGCCCCGCCCCAGCCCCAAGGGTGCTTGCATTGCTCACCAGGAAGGGAGGTGGGGGAGAGCTAGTCTGAACCACCTCTTTTATTTTTTTTAAATGGTTATTTCCAAATACTTTCACCACCTCAACATAAAAGCAAGCCAGGAAACCTCAAGGAGATAAGGGCCATTACGTGCAAGCACAGGGTTCCAGGTTCTGCAGTAGGACCTGCAACCGAATCTCACCACTCCACAGACAGCAGAAGCACCTCTAGCTATGCAGCCACACAGACAGCTAAACAGCCTATCTCTTAGCAGAGGTAGCTGGGGGTAATTGCGTAAGCGGAGGGCGTAAACTTCCCAGTAACCTGGAATCCCTGCTAAATAAATTAGTAAATATCGCTATTTACAGAAATAGAAATCATTTCTGTTTCCAAAGGCCTCTCACCCCCCAGTCCTGGACATGCCCAAGACTGCCACCCCTGACATCCAGTCTTCTTCACCCCCTATGCCCCCATGGGGACTCCCTGTTTCACACCTCCTGTTCCAGGGAGGGGAGAATCTTCAGTCCTCCGAGGGGTGCCACAGTCAATCTCTTCTCACCAGTTCCTGGAGGGGGGCTGTTTCCAGGCTGTGCCCCCTCCCCATTAGGATGACAAAGGCTGTTTTCCAGTCCCCAGTTCCTCCCCAGAGTGCAACAAGCCCGTCTGGATCCACCCTCGGAGCAGAGAAGCAGTCTGCGGCTTGGGGCAAAGGACCCTGGAAAGCGGCTGTGCAGACAGGCAGCAAATGATGGCCGGGAGGGCTCACCCTTGATGAGGACCAGTGACAGCAAGGACTGCTCTACGCACAGGTCAGAGTGGGAGCCTGGTCAGAGCCAGAGTCGGAGCTTTCCGCCAAGTTGGGGGGTGGTGGTGGGACCACGCGGGGGTTGCGACGACGTCCCCTGTACTCGATCATGTCAGGATGATACGTTGGGTGGCGGCGGGCGTGCTTGGTCAGGTGGTCGCTCCGGGAGAACTGCTTGGGGCAGAGAGGGCAGGAGAAGCGCTTCTCGCCCGTGTGCGTTCTGTAGTGGCGGGCCAGCTCGTCGGAACGGGTAAACTTCTTGTCGCAGTCGAGCCAGTCGCAGGAGAACGGGCGTTCGCCCGTGTGGGTACGCTCGTGGGACTTGAGGTGCGACGACTTGTAATAGGCTTTGTCGCAGCCCGGGTGGGAGCACTGATGGCGCTTGGCGGCTGGAGTCACAGGCCGCCTCCGGGGCGCCGGCGCAGGGACAGGAGCGCCGCCAGCCCCTGGGGCCCCTGCACTCTCCCCCAGGGCGTCTGCAGGCGCCCCAGGGTCAGCAGGAGAACTCGGAGCGGCAGGCGAGCCAGGGCCGCTCTCGGGCCCGGAGATGGCGGCTTCGTCCGGGTCCGGGTCCGGTTCAGCGTTCGGGGCCGGGCTGGAGCTAGGGAATGGGTCGGAAGAGCCAGGAGCAGCAGGCAGAGCATCTCCCGAGTCCTCCCCCAGTCCCTCCCCAGAGCCACTGCCCAAGTCCGCCAGGACGTTGGCAGCCAGCAGGTGGGGCACGGTGGGGGCCGGCCCCGGGCTCGAGGAGGGGCCCCGGGGGAGCTGGGGGGCTGCCGCGGGTCCCGGGGGCTCTGGGGCCGGCGGAGCGCACTCCGCACCCACCTCGCAAGCCGCGTCCGCGCCCGCGCTCCCGGTCTCCGGCGAGCGGCGGTGCAGCACGGCGCCCGCCGACATGGACACCAGGCACTCGGCGGCGAAGTAGTCCAAGCCCGCCACGCCGGCCGACATGCCGGGGACGCTCTGCTGCCGGCGCGCGCCGTCCGAGCGCGGCCGGCCGCGGGCGAGAGAGTTCCCGGGCGCGTCCGTCCCGCAGCCGGGGAGCGCACGGAGCCGGAGCGCACGGAGCCGGAGCGGCCGCCACTCCCCGCCGCTCCCCGCCGCCCTCCGCCGCCCTCCGCCGGGGCTTCGGTGCCGCCGCCGCTGCCGTGCCTCTCCCGGGCCGCCGCCGGTGCAGCCGCTGCCGCCCGTGCAGCCGCCGCCGCCGCCGCTCCCGCCGCCGCCGGTGCAGCCGCCCGCGCCGCCCGCCCCGCCTCGCGCCCTGACGCACCGGGGCCCGCGGGGGCGGCGGGGACCCGCCCCGGGCCGAGGGGCGCCTCCCGGAGCAGCCCGCCGCCTCCCCCCGCCTAGGGCATTTTGGTGTTTTTTTTTTTCCAGCGGCAGAGAAAGTGTCTTGTCTGCGCGGTTTTCCTCCGGCTGGCGAGCAGGTAATTGTAAGAAAGCAAAAACTCCGATCCTAAACTTGTGGGCGGCCGCGCCCGCCTCCGCCAGCCGCCCGCCCCGCGCTCCGAAAAACTTTTTTTTTTTTTTTAAGGAAAGAGAGAGGGGGAGAGCGGGGGAAGAGCGAATACCTGACTTGTTTTCGCCGCGTTAACTGCGATTGTTGGCGAAGTGATCTGGCATTGCGTCTGCCTCCCGTGCTCCGCGCTCCGCTCTCAGACCAAATGGAGGATATCCCACCCCTCACCCCAACCCCGCAGCGGCCTCAAAAAAAAAAAAAAGTTTTGCTCATTCGCCTTCGGCGTTGCAACTGTTAATCCAGATGCAGGGTCGGCGGCAAGTCCCCCAAATAGATCCGCGACGCGGCCATTAATTAATCGCGTTTCGGAGCCAGAAACATCTGTATATCCTTGCGACCGCCAACGAATCCTTTCATAGTTGAAATTGAAACTTAAAAGCCTTCGGGGGAGCGGGGGACGATTTAACTCTTAAGCGAACGGAAAGAAAAATGCCTGTTTAAACCGCATTAACCTGTCACGGGAATACAGAGTTCCACGCTGAAATAGAAATTACATCCTAGCAGCGAGATAAACACATTAAAATGGACTCCAACAATTTTAATAATAGAAAGTCACGTTCCCATTAGGCAGCTTCTTTTGTTTTTCTTTCGGAGAAAAATTAAACAGAAAAACGGCAGCGTTTCAGAGTGCTCGCGTGTGCTGGGAGATGGCTGGCTTCCCCCGTAAGCAAATACATCACGTTAATCCTTGTACACGCTCCCTTCTCTTTCCCGCCCCCCTTTTATTTAAAAAACAAAAACAAAGCAGAAGCACAGAGACATAAAAGATGCTGCAAACTGTCGAATCGCGGTTGTGGATGCACGCAGCTTCCCTGGAGTGTGTGTGTTTGTAATTCTTTAGCACTTTCCTTTTTGAAAATTAAAGAATTCACATGATCAGGAATAAAATACTGTCCGTGTTATTTGCTGCCCACAGTACCCCTAAGGGCATTTTAAAAGCATGTTTGCTCTTGATTTGTGTTTAAACATTACAGATAGAGTTGGCTGTCACTTTTCTTCCCTGCCTAGTCCAATCCACCGTTCTCCCTGCTTGACACCCAGGTGATGTGGGGACGTTGTGTTGCTATCCCTTGGTTACGTAATTACTTGTCTGTGCATCTGTGTATCTTCATGTCCATGCGGCTGGATGTGCGGAGCGCAGCGTGCAGCTCGCCTTGCTCCGGGATGAGCTTTACGGAGACAGCCTTCTTGACACCTGTGGCAGCTTCCGTCTCTTTAAGGAGATCTTTCCTATAACTGATGTTTGCTGAGGTTCCTTGCCTCAACATTTTAGGTGCTCAACTCTCAATCAACACATAAAAATTCTGTTAGAATACTAGTTCTTTTCCTCTAAATTTTACTATTTAGAAAAAACATGACACTACTAAAAAGATGCAGGAGAGTCTGCAAGCACCCAAGTACCGAATCATTAATAGTCGTGAACATTCTGCCATCCCTGCTTCAGATTTTTTTTTTTAAATGGAACTCTTCCACGTGTCTGATGAAATTGAAGACCCTTCGTTCTCCACCCCATGCCGTCCCCCACCCTTTTCCCCAAGGGCAAACACGACCATGAATTTGGCGTGGGACTTTGCACGTTGCGTTCCTCACTTGGCGCAGAGTGCCTTGTGTGGATTTTAAAGTGTACACTCACGCTGTTAGGCTGCACATCTCTCTCTGAGGCTTGCTTTTGTTATTTTTTCTTTTCTTGTCTTTTCGTGTTGATGGGTGCAGATCCAGTTCATTTGTTTTAATTGCTGTATTTTAGATGCCTGTTCGCTCTCCTCTTGATGACTGTTTAGGCTGCTGCCAGTACTTTGTGTTTCTTGTCTGTATTTTCCTTGCACGTGTGTGGTGGCCGCTGTGCGTCCTTCCTGCTCGGGAATTGCAAGGCTGCGCATGCACTTCGTTTTCCTGCACTCCCACAGTCCTGGATCTGCACACCCCGGCCATGCACGGAGCCCGTGCTTCCCTCACGTGACCCATCGAGATGCAGACCTCATTGCTTACATTTGTATTTCTAGCATGATTTTCCAGAAACCGAGGATCTGCTTGTTTGATTTGAATTTCCCTGACTGCTAATGAGGCTGAATGTTTCTGGCGTGCTGATTGGCTGCTGGGGTTTCCAAGGCGGTGACGTGTTTTCAGTGGCCTCTGTGTGGCGTCTCTGTCTTGGTTTGGAGGAGTTGACGCATGCGAGCACTACACTGCCTGTCCCTCATGTCTTAATTGTGTTTTATCTCTTTTGTGCTAGAGACGATTTAAAGGTAAAACATATTTACTAATGTCTTTTTAAATATATAGCTTGTATCATTTATGCATTGTTAAAAAAAAAATCCTTTTCACCCTTGATGCCCCAACACGCCCTCTTACTGTGCTTTTGCTTATGGTTTTAAAGTTTTGCGCACACGACATTGGTCTTTTTGAAGCATGTCGAATGGGCAATTCATTGTACTCCTCTCCTCTCCCCCTCCACGTGCCAAGCATGACCCGATATGCCAAACAGACTTTACATCCCTATGAATGTGTTATGCCCCCATGATTGTACATTAAGTTTCCATATACCCACGGGTATGCTTCAAGTTTGTCTTTTTGTACTGATCAAACCGATTCAGAGTCAATACCACACTCTTAATTGCTACGTCGTAATGAAAAGCCTTGCTGTGTGGAAGGGTGTGCCCTTTGTTCAGGTTTAGAATTGTACTGGCCATTTTGAACTTCTACTCTTCCATGCTAACTTTAGCATCAGTTTGTCAAGTTCCATAGCAAACTTTTTAAAGTTATTTTTACCGAGTTAAATTTATGGGTTCAGTTTGGGGAGCAATGACATTTTTGTAAAATTCAGTAATCTAATCCATTCCAGTGATTCTGATTTGTAAAGATCCTTCGATGACATTTTATAACTTGTTGCTTACACACTTGCCCATCTCTGCCAGCTTTTCTTCTAGATACCTTACAATTTCTGTTGACATTATACAGTGGGATTTTTTTTTCTATTAGAATTTTAAAGTTCTTGTTGGTGTTGTACAGATTCTGGAATAAAACTGTTTACACAAGTGCTGACCTTGATCTTTAAACATTTTTCTAATCACCTGTATTTGTATTTGGATGACCATTTTGTGTGTAACCGACATCCTTGAATGGATTCGGACCCTCAGTCTGACATCTGATACCAAGGGTGACAGTGGACACTGCCTGCGTCCCCATCTTGGTACAAGCACTCCTCATACATGTGCACTGTTCATCAGGCTAAGGTGAGTTCCTTATATCCCCAGCTGTGCTCATGGTAAAACGATTTTAAAGCCATGGCATGGATATTGAAAGTATTAACATTTTTGTAAAAGCATGATTTACGTCTCGTCTTTGAAGTCTTAATTGAGCAGTTCACGTTGGCAGATTTTCCTTACATTCCCAAGATAAGGTTTGTATTGCCTACAATGTATTGTTATGTTTAAAACACACTGCTTCATGCACTGTGCCCGTTTTGAAATTTCAGCATCTGTTTTTAAGTAACGTTGAGTTATAAAATTGTCCCTTCCTGGACCCGTTGCCAGGGTTGTATGATACCAAGGTTCTAAGGCTCCTCCAGAAAATCCGTTTGAAAATTTCCTGCTTCTCCTTTTCCTGTGAAAGAGTGTGAAAAAGCTTGTTATGTTTTGCTTAAATGTTTGAAAATTTCATCTTTCAATTCATCTTATTTTGAAAATTTACCTCATTTTTTTCAAAATTGTTGACTTATTTGGGTTTTCTCATTCTTCCTCAATTAGCTAAGATAATTCACACTTCAAAATATGTATTATATTAAAATCTTTAAATTCCTGATACATGCTGCATGGGCTTCTTGTATCTAAAATCCCCATGATACCTGCAGCTACAAACGCCCTTCCACTCCCCACGTCATGTGTTACCTAACTGTTCAATTGTTTCATTTTGTGTAGCAAAGATATTCCTATATTTTGAGACACATCTCTAAAGTCTTTCTTCAAATTAAGCCGTTTTTTACTGACCACAGTTGTCTTTTAAATGCATATTTGTTTCTATTTCTATTCTCATTAACTGCTCAGACCATTGTTGGGTTTAACATGTGTCCTGTTTTCTTAATTAGCTCATTCACTTCTAATTGTTCCCATGTTTAATATGAGCTCAGGTCCATACACTTCCCTTGCAGAGCAATTCCCCTTCTGAAAGTAGTGGTCTGATTGCCACTGCGTCCTGAGACATCCTGACCCTGTCGAGCCAGGTGCTTTCCCTGGATTCCCTGGCGAGCATCAGTTGAGCTGTTCTGTGGCCAGGGTTCACTGTGTACCACTTTCAGAAGCTGGCTCTGGAAGTCTGACGGGAATGATTGGAAATGGGAAGGGGAGTAAGGTGATTTTTAAACATGATGCATCCTTGGGGGTTGAAGTGATCTTTTTCTGAGCCCATCCCAAAGCTTCCAGGAGTGTCGCCACAG